GTATACACAAAGATACATGCAAATGCTAATATACGCAAATATTAGATGAAACATGCACAAGTAAAGATATCATGTCATACGATTAGGGCAACGAGATCTATAATAACCATCTTTACCTCAATTTTCACATGTATAAGCATATTTTTTCTTGCCTAAAGATGTGTTTTTATATATTAATTGAAGTATATAAAGAATATTTAAACCACTAATATAGTACCTTGAATTGATTGCTCCATATCCTCATTAACTATATCAACTTTTGTTCCTAATATTATTAGTCTAATTTATAGTATGTTTAATAAAAAGTCAATAAATATATATGTATTTATCTTGATCTTGACCTTGAACATCTTGAATGTGTTCATGCATCATTTGGTCTTGTTCTTCAGTACCTTCAGTACTGTCAATATTAATTGATTCATTACTAATATTGGAACTAGCCATCTTCACTAAATCATCATTCTGCAACACATTAGTTGTTTTCTTCAACACTTTTTTTCGTGCGCTATTATTGAATGCTGCTATACATTTTTGACGCTTCTGTCCCTTTGTTTGTGGTTTTAGTAGATTATTGATTGTTTTATAATTATACTCATCATCTGACTGCAAAACGCGTCCTTCCTGCTCTGCTAGTTGTTTTTCTATCTCATTAATGAACTGCTGATGTAATTCATAAAGCTCTTCAGTACGTCCAGTTTGGATTGCTAAATTCAAGGTTCTTTTCATAAGACTAAAACCTTTCCCATAGAGAGCATGACTTCTTATATGATGTTGTATCTTGGGTGTAAAAACGTATTGGCCATGAATCAAATTGATTAAAGAAAAGTCAACTTGGACATCATTCTCAAATGCACCAAATTTTCTCCCCACTTCGAATTGAAATTGCATATTCATTACTATAATCATCATTTTTTAGCATGGCTCAATCGTTAAACCAACATTTTGCTAAAATTCCAATATGAAATTGTGCTATTTTGCTTTTCAATAAAATAGCAAAAAAATAATGATATATAATGCCACGATTCACGAGTGTTAAACATGTACACAAGTGACTTGCATTTCTAAAGAGAACAACGAAATATGATACTATTCAAAGCTCTTTGATATCACCAATACCATCAACAAGTTCTGTTAATTCAATGAGCATTTCATCATACAAATCTTTGCTAAACATGCTTTTAGGTGTATTCTAAATAAAATAAACAATATTAAATAACTCAACTAACACACTAATGGATCAAACTACAAGTTAAAAATTTGATAAAATTAACAAATAGGTCAAACCCATTTGTTAATTTTATCAAATTTCTAACTTGTAGTTTGACCTATTAAAAGATGATTTAAAGACAACAACCAAGCTCATAACTACTTTTAATATACTGGTTTATCAATATTTTCAACATGAGCTTGTTGTTGTAACTCAAACTTCAAATCTGTATGATAAGCTCAATAGTAGGGGCATTGATCCATTTGATTCTGCTACAACTTTTGTATTGTCGGTGTAAGAAATTTAGTGCAAGCCTCATTAATCACCATAAAATAGTGATCTCGGTACGTTGCATGTATAATGCATGGTAGCTCTCCATTGATCTCATTGAATCTCACAAACTGTAACTCCCTCATTAAATGCTGTTCGGTTATGCTTACTACTTCCATTAATAAGGTTGTTCTATTAAGTGAATTCTTCAAAATCGCGTTGTACACTTCAACTCTTTGAGTTGATTGAATACCACAATTAAAAGACCGATGTGTGAAAGCAAGAACCCATGCTTCATGATGAGGATAAAGCTGATGCCTTAGATAAGATTGTGCCTTAGAAAATAAATCCAAGACCTGTTGCCACTTTCTCTTATAAACAGTTTCAGTGGTGCTATTGCGTGCCTGACAAAAACTTGAAAAGAAATCTCTAAACTTTTCTCTACCAAACTTAGAGAGAAAATATTTTTCAAGATTTTTCCGTATGTGAAACAAACAGAAATGGTGCTTTGTGCCATGCTATACGTTTTCAATTGCACCAATAATTGCTGGATCTGCATCTGTATAAACAACTTTAAGTTTTAACCCTTCTTTATAAAAAAAAAAAAATTAACTAGTATATACTACAAATTAACTACAACAAACATACTAAATAAAACAATAAAAAGTCAACAACCTGTTGCTCTTGTAAAATCTATTCAAACGTTATTTTTTGCTCGTCCATAATTAAGGCTGTAGCAACAAGTCATGATCTATTGTAGTTATCTATACAAACCACTACACACATGATCATATTAAATCTATTTGTTTTACAGGTCGTATCAAGTAAAATGACATCATAAAAATGACACCAAATATCGATTTGTTTGGGATGCAACCACAAAAGCCCTACAAGATGATTATCGCTTCTCTCGAATTTTGCATCAATGTACCAACTGGGCATCTCCTGTTTTCGATACATTAGCTCTTTATAGATACCACTTGCATTACTTAATAATTTTCCTTTCTCTGCTTTTACCACTTGAATAATATTGTAGACACTATGTGCATGGATATATTGATCTAGATATTTGTGTATCAATACATTAATAATGGCCCTGTACGTACACCACTAGCAGCAAGAAGTTCAATATCATCACACATTTCAGATGTAAGGCGACAATATTGAGGTGTAGCCATTTGGATATTATTGCTTATTGGATGTGAATACTTACCAATTATACCCAAAATATGTACTTGATTATCACTTTTCTATCTTTGAAAATTAAGATAATATTCACAACCACTATTCTTATGTGCTTTATTTCGTTCCTCTAACGTATGTGCCTTTTTTTTTACTTTGTAACGACACCCTTTGGAACAATAGTAAACCCGATGTCTAGGTATTCTGTCATTCTTGTCTAATTTACTTTTTACTAAAAAAAAGCAAAGCCTCGTTCACGACCATGTTTGTCAAGCCAACTTTCATTAATTAATACCTGTACTATACATGCATAAAAAAAACAAAATTAAAATAAAATATTCAACTTACTTTTCAACATCTTTCCAATCAGTAAAACTTTGCCCTTTAGTTAAGGGATATAATCCCTCCTCCAAATCAGTCAAATCAGTTTCAGCCTCAGATTCTACTAAGCTATTACTTTCCTCAGATCGAAGTTGCCCATAAGAATCTAGCATTTCATCAAATATATTTGTCTCAACATTGCTAATAAAACACAGATCAGCTTCATTAAATTCATCGTCACTTGCCATTTCAAAAGCTATATAATGCTGTGTAAATAATTAAGTATATAAGTAATATGGTTAGACAGTTATGTGCAATAAGATAATTTAAAGTTAAGTTAAGTTAAAATCTAAAGTAAAAGTTGTACGTGTCATATATGTTATGCGTCGGTTTCAATCATTTATATATGGTTATACCAATAGGTGAAAATCACCATAAATGCGTTTTATAATAATTGTAATTTTTTATTTATATTTCATTTTAATATATTTAAAAGTTAGCTATCTTAATAAAGTTATATTAGCAAGTTTAAAAATTATGGCTATTATAAAAATTATCAACAAAAATTACTAAAATATAAATAACAAAAATTTTACATAATAAAATTCTTTTAAATTCTTAATAAAAGTTGTAAAGCTAATTTTTCTGATTTTAATAATAGTAAAATCATAAAAATTGGTTTAGTAAATAAAAAGATATAAGTTATTTAATTTTGCAAATTTTGTTATATAGTTTTTATATATTTTATTATATAAAATATAAAAAAATCTAATCTTTTTTTTTTTTTTTTTTTTTTAGTATTAAGGCCGATGTTACGGAACTTACTGCCTTTATTTGTGTTTTTAGTTAATGCATTACATATAACTTGTACAAGGTGAGTGTGCAACTAGCCACACG